AAGCAAGTCAGTGCATTCATTGGGTGGTATCAGAGAGTTACAAGGGTCTGTAAACGCAATGAAAACATTTGGCCACAGCTAATCATTTATATTAAACATCTAATTTTTACTTTTGAATTCTTCAGTACAAACGATGTATTGAATAATTTAAGTGATATATGTGTACACATATAAATCATTCATTAGTCAAAACAGGGCTACATTTGATTTAATTATAAAAGGTATAATATGTGGGACACTGAAGAGCCTTCTTGGTGAGTCGAGCCAAATGATCCGGCTCACCAAGAAGAGCCGGAATTCCGCAATAAATTCTACTGAGCCTGTGTCATGTGACAGCCAGCAGATGGCAGTAAACACAAAGCTTTATTGGTAAGTGACAGCATGACAAACAGTTAGGGACCGTCCTATTTTCTCCGTCCTATGTCTTCTCTCTCTTTGTGTTGGATAGTATAAATATAAGTATTTAATGCTATAAAATATATAATCTACAACAAAATAATATTCTGAATAATTTACTGCAAGACTATTTGGTACATTTTGATGGTAATACATACATTTTGTATTTTTTGAGTGCTTTTCAGGGTGCTCAAAGACACTTTACATGCTATTATTCATGAAAGCATTACAACAACAAACTTAAAATATACGACACAACAATAATTAAAGATTATAAGCAGCCTTTGAAGCTGTAAACAATATATAAGACTAATAGTTTACATGAATAACTGCAGTACATTTACAAAGAATAAACACGGAAAAAGTATTCCAAAAATAAAAAAAGTTGGTGATTTGGGTTACCCATTAATTTCCTTTGGTCGTCATTTTTGACTGGGAACTCCATAGACGTGACAAAGTGGACTAAACTAGATTCAAAGATTCAACATTCAAAGGTTTTATTGTCTTATGCACGTAAGCTACAGTGTAGAAAGTGCAATTAAAATCTTATGACCTCCAACGATGCAACATGTATAATAAAATACAAATAGAAAATAGTGCAAGAAGTCTATATACACGTAAATATAATATGATATATACAATAACAATGTAAATGTAATATTGTACAGTAAGATGAAATTAAATAGCTATTTAGATAAATAAGTAAATCGCAAGATGCCAAACGGATGAATGTGTATGGAAACTACTCAGAATTCAATGAAAGTGTTGATTATATACGTTCAAATGCCTGCTGTGGAGGATATCATAAGGCCTTGAAGCAATCAAATCTAAAACTGAATATTTAACATGCATGAAAGAAGTAAAACTAGAAGTGTGCCTCCTTTTACGTTTTTTCTGCGGGTGTTAACACGCACGCGGTCCCTAAAGCGTCCCTCGCTCCCTGCAAGTGGGCAGAGCAAACACACTGCCTGAAATCTCTCTAGTCTGCTCAACGAAACGACGTCTCCTCTGTCGCTCTTCCATCTGGATTTCAAGTCTTATTACCCCATTATTTCACCACCTAGGGCTACAGAGAGAAAAGAGTAAAAAGGTAAGCTGGTTTTCTGCCTCATTGTTTATGCGCAGTGTTTAGCAGCGCGTGCTCGCTTGTCATTGCGGCGGACGGTGCGTGTTTTGTTGTGAAATGTGGTGGTGGTCGACAGAGCTAACAAAGCTAATTTAACCTTAGAAAACAGGTGTATGTAGCTTTTAACCCACATAAAACGTACAATACCCTAGTGTTGTACGTTTTTATGTGGCTAACCTTAACACTAGCTGCTTTCTTAATGGTCAGTTAGGCAATGTCAACGGCGAAACGCCGCAGAAAGCAGGGGTCCCATTGTTATTACCCACTGGTTAAGCTACAATCAAATGCTTTATTTTCATATGCACCATATCGTGAATAAAGTCCCATACTCCTCCAACAGACTCCTCTTAAGACATAAAGAAATAAAGCTACATTAAAATCAAAAGGCTCTATTTTCATATGCACCACAGCTACACTGTTAGCATTGAAAACCTGAAGTCCCTCCAACAGAGACACACACTATACTTAATACATAGAGGCACGTAGGAAGGAAGTAGTGCAATAATATAGTGCAAGTGACACAATGCTGCAAGTAAACAATGCAGGAGTTACTAAACTGTGATAGAATAAGATTAAACAGATACTAGATTAAAAAAAGAGCATATATTTAAAGCTGGTTTAAAATGACCCTATGTTTGTCCTCCATCTTTTTATTATTCTAACTGTATTTATCGGTTTAGCATTCATGTTTGTTAATCTGTAAAGTCCACGGAGACACACATGTTGAGCTATATAAATACACTTTGATTTGACTGTAATAATGTATAGATGTGTGGATTTGGGGACAATACACAAATGTATTGTTTGTGTTACAAACCTGGCTAGTTGATGCTAAAAACAAGTTTGATACTGAATGAATTAACGTTTCTCTGGCAACATACCCATAATGTGCCAGGAAACATGTCTCAAACAGGTTGTTCAAGAATA